TTCATGAGTGATTTATCATCTATCCATTTGAAGTTATTTGTCTGTACACTGGGTTTTGTAATACTGTGGAAAATATTTTTAATGTGTTTAATTACACATTTAATGCCTGAATACGCTAAGTGTTAAAACTTATTCATTAAAGATAAATCAAGAATCTGTTTTGATGTACTCTTCTACTCCCCTCCTCAGAGGTAAACTTTATTACAATTCATTCATTCAATTGTTCAGCAAACATATATATAAAATATCACATCTCACTTATATACCAAAACTAATGAACAAAATAAATGGATGAATAAAATAGACACAGAGACATAGAACCATGGAACAGACTGAGGGATTTCAGAGGGATATGGATGCTGTGGAGGTTTGGGGATGTGGGGGAAAGATTAATAAGGGAACTTATATGCATACTAGAGGCCTGGTGCATAACATTCATGCACTGAGGGGGGGGGTGTTCCTCAGCCCAGCCTGCACTCCGTCATAGTCCAGGATCCTTTGGGGTATGCTCACCTGCTGGCTTAGGGGAGCAGGCCTAAGCTGGTAGGCAGACATTCTCCAAGGGGTCATTAGCACTGCCAAGGAGGTGGGAGAGGCTTCCACCACCGCCCCTGCACTTGCCAGCCACAAGCCTGACTTCTGGCTGAGTGGCACTCCCTCTGGGGTAGCGCACTGACCACCAGGGAGCAGCTCCTGCATTGAGCGTCTGCTCCCCTGGTGGTCAGTATGCATCATAGCAACTAGTCATTTGGCCATTCAGTTGATTTGCATATTAACCTTTTATTATATAGGATATGCATAGCCCATGAACACAGACAATAGTGTGGTGAATGCCTGGAAGGAGGAGTGGGGAGGAAGGGGTCAATGGAAAACAAACAAACAAACAAACAAACAAATAAATGGGACACCTGTAATACTTCCAACAATAAAGGTAAGTTAAAAAAGAAAGAAACAATAAAAGACTTGAAGTAATCACAGAAATAAATGTAAAATTGCTTAAAATCTATTAATGAGAGGTACCTGCTGCCATGACAGCAAGCATGTCAAACTCAAGGCCCACAACGAATATTTTTGCAGTTCAGCCAATATAACAGTATGTAAGAAATGTTTTAATAAAAATTTCATAACAATTTTTATAATGTCCTGTTATACATAATTATTAATAATGAACTATAATATTCGCTAATAACTGATTACTATGATTGTGGTGCATTAATTTCCCTTATGTGCCTTACACACAGGAGCACCATTTCTCTCCACTAATACTAGCAGAGAATATTTTAGCAGCTGGTTGCCACATTATTAGTCTTGGACTGACTTGTTTGGTGTGTGCAACAGGAAATATTTAGCTTTTGGAGTACAAGAAAAATAGGTTTATTTGCATTACACTTATTAATTTGTGCAGTTATTCAGTGTCTGGTAAGTTAATGTACAAGAAAAAATATTAATTTTTATTAAAATGTTCTATTATTTTATGTTAATGATTACTCATTTGTTTTAGCCCTTTGTATTCAGCATGCTTCTATTGAAATAAACCTACGTTTCTATGAAAATTGAAGCTTTTGTTTTTTTTGTGGCCCACATAAATTTAAACCTTGTTTACTTGGCCCGTGTTAGCCTTTGAGTTTGAACATGCTTAATGTACAGTATATTAGAGAGACTGGACCTGATTAGGGAGATCAGAGAAAGGTTTTTGAGAAGAGACTAGTAACCTATAGTCTACAGTTCCAACACAGAGTACCCACTAGCCACATGTAGCTATTGAAATGTAAATTAACTAAAATTAAGTAACAAAATTCAATTTCTCATTCGCACTATTCATATTTCAAGCACTCAAAAGCCACGTTTGGCTAGTAGCTAACAGACTGGACTGTGCAGAGAGAGAGCTTTCCCAACATCTCAGAACGTTTTATAAGACAGTGCTCAGCTAGAGAATGAGTAAGTGTTAACCAGGCAGAAAAGGGAGGGAAGAGCATGCTAGGCAAACAGAGCCCAAATGGCAGCAGGTACAAGGTGACAATACAGACCTCACAGGGAGCCGGTGTGCTCCATGCTACACGGGGGCATGGAAGAGGGCAAGGGAGAGCAGTAGTAGATGAGGCAGCATATATGTTCCAAATTGTTAGAGGGAAGAAAAAATCAAACCAACAACAAAATTAATTCAGTGAAAGACAGTGAAAGAAAATAAGCAAGAAAAACAACAGAAATGCTCAAAAAAATGGGAAAAAGATGGCAGAAACGAGGTAAAATATATCACTTCTAAATTTGCATACTATGTACCAGAGGCTGTGCTCATCTGCTTTAGGCAAGATATTCCATTCAGTACAACAGTATCAGGGGCCTGAGCAGTGAATTAAGTGGGTATATGAGCAGAACTACTACCCCTAAGTCTTTGAGGGTGGCATTGATTTGTTCGTGCACCTAGTAAACAAGTTTTTCTTTTTTTACTCTCACCAGATGAATAATTCAGCCTCAAACGTTTAGAAAAAATACATATATATATATATATATATATATATATATATATATATATATATTTTTTTTTTTTTTACTTTAGAAAAATATATCCATTAATATGCTTTTAAATGTAAATTAATAAAAATTATCCTTATTCTATTTTAAGAGACAAATCCAGGTCCATCTTTCTGCCAGAGTAGCAATAATCTGATGTCACATCAATAACATTATTTAATAAGAATAAATTAACAAGTAACAGCAAAAAAAAACAACCTGCCATTTATTACACATCTTTTGTTTTACATGCATTTTAGAATGTAGGTTGTATTATCTCCTTTTTACAGATAAGGAAGTTGGACTGTGGGAAATTAAGCCAACTGCTCTAGGTTACAAGCCAGAGAGTGCAAAGTTGGGTTTCCAAGGCAGGCCTGTCTGATGGAAATTTTCCTTAGACTAACCTTGTGTGGTAGGGCATGTTTCCCGTTTAACAGAGCACCCACAATGGTTGATTCCCTCCCTAACCATACAGTCTCATGAGGTATAGGTCTTCATAGTCAGCATTTTGCTCCATCATATTCCTTATTCGTTCTCACTGTAGTAAAATAGGAGGTCAATGAAGAAGTCGGGCATAGGAACCTTTCCACCACCAACTAAAGCACCAATCAACCCCCTGGGATGCTATACTTGTTTATGTATATAATTTCACCCAAAAGTTTAAAGAAAATGCCTGTGTACACATTTCCTTTTTAAAATATATTTTTATTGATTTCAGAGAGGAAAGGAGAGGGAGAGAGAGATAGAAACATCAATGATGAGAAAGAATCATTGATCCACTGCCTCCTGCATGGCCCTCACTGGGGAATAGAGTCAGCAATCCCAGCATGTGCCCTTAACTGGAATTGAACACAGGTCCGCAGGCCGACGCTCTATCCACGGAGCCAAACCAATTTCGGCTGCTCATTTCCTTTTAATTCAACTTCTCACTCACCCATCTATCTAATTGTTTTTACTTGTACCAAATTGTTTTTACTTGTACACAGATTATTGTGAGGCTACCACCTTTTTGTTTTTGTTTGTTTGTTTTGTTAATCCTCATTTGAAAATATTTTTTATATTGCTTTTTTAAAAACTATATTTTTATTGATTTTTAGAGAGAGAGAAAGGGAGAGAAATAAGAGAGATAGAAACATCAATGAAAGAGGAAGTCATTGATTGGCTACCTCATGCACTGCCCCCACCAGGATCGAGCCCACAACCTGGGCATATGCCTTGACTGGGAATTGAACTGGAGACCTCTTGGTTCCTGGATTGACACTCAACCCATGAGCCACACCAGAAAGGATCCATTGTTTTTTAAAGAGAGTGGAAGGGAGGGAGGGGGAAAGAAAGAGACAGTAACATCTACTGATCGGTTGCCTCCTGCATGTTCCTGACATCAGCCTGCAAGGTACATGCCCTTGATGGGGTGTCCAAACCACGACCCTTTCTGCACAGGCCAACACTCTAACCACTGAGGCACACCAACCAGGACAAGATCACCACCACCTTTTACATGGAATATTCTTTCCAGACTCCAGCAATTATCCCTAGGAGAGTTCACCATGTTATGCTGTTACAAGTTATTCATGTATATGCGTATGTGATGAGCTCTTCTCTTAAAACTTTGTATTCAGGTTACTGTAAGATCTTGCCTTAGAGAACACACAGTGGAAGGTTTACGCATCTTACAGGGGTGAGTTTGCCTGTCTACTACAGGAGAATGCAGGGCCTTCCCACCCCCAGAAATGCTGGTTTCCTCTTGACAATGGTCCCAGCTTGCCATCCAGCATAGACTGGGTAAGTACTCAACCAACAGATAGTGTCTCTTAGATATGCTATGAAGGTCTCCACGTCCAAATAAATTCTACCAGGGCCTAGCTTCAGGTCCACAGTGTTTGCACCAAACCCGGCAGGATGGTTTTAGAGCCATAGTCTAAACTGGAAGCAGTCTTTGCCACCTCTTGGCTGGACAACCACAGGCAAGGAGCTGGCTCCCTTATTTGCAAAATGGGATGACCAAGGGCCCCCTTTAGAGTTGTTGTTCATGAAATTATGCATGCAAAGTGCTATTTCAAGGCCCACCACTAGCAGAAGATGAGACTATTTTGCAGGCGAGGAAACGGGGTATTGTCAGGAAATAAGGGGAGCATCGGGAGGGGTGGGTAACGGTTCCGCGTGGCACGCCGCGGGGTCACAGCTCTTCTGCTAAAATTTCCACCAAGATGACCCGGAAAAAAAAAAAAAAAAAAAAACACAACAAAGTTTTTTTGCAACATCACAGGCACCCCCAGCAGAGACCTGGCAGCAGCCGGGCTCGCGCACACAGCTGCTTCTGGACTTTCCGGGGATGCGCCCGCAGCGCGCTCCGCCCCGGAAACACGCCCCAGCCGCTTTGGCGCGCTTTAGAAACTGGTCTGTTCCGTGTACATTTCCCCGTCGCGGCAGCTCGGGAGGCTCAGTTCTAGTGTTCTAAGCCTGCGGCCCCCCAACCCCGCGCAGCAGCAATGAGGAGGACCCGCGACGAGGTGGACGCGACGCTGCAGATCGCCAAGCTGAACCCCGCGGAGCTGCTACCCGCCGTGCAATGCCTGGGCTTCGGCCCCGGGGCCAGCGCGGCCGCCGGCGGAGACTTCTGCCTCCTGGAGCTGGAGCCCGTGCTGTGCCAGCAGCTGGAGGCGGGGTGCAGGTGAGCGGGGCGCCGCGCCTCTTCCTGATGTTCTCTGATGGGGATCTGGGCCAGGGAGGTGCGTTTATTTGCAGGGGTGAGGGGGTGAGGGGCTTACAGCAGATTAGTGGCCGGATCCCCAGTTCGCTGTCTTTTCCCTGGGATTCCAGGCTAGGCCGGGCAGGGAGCTGGATGGTGTGACCCATACATAGGACTGCTCCAGCTGGTCTTGCCGGCTCTCAATTGCCCAATTCTTGCTCTGTGGAGCCCATCCTTGTGTGAGGACTATGAGAGCATCATGACAAATTTTAAATTCTACCACCCTAGAGGAGAACAGTGTATAATGAAGATGTCCATTGGCATGTCAATAAATCATGTATTTTCTTTTCCCATTTTCCTGTAGTATGGTGATTCGTGGTGATAAAGATGAACAGGCTGTGCTGTGCAGTAAAGACAAAACCTATGACTTGAAGATAGCAGATACTTCTAATATGTTGCTTTTAATTCCTGGTTGTAAAATTCCGGGCCAGCTAAAGATGGAAGAAACCCACTGTAACATTATTCACACTGAGGTACTGTATTTTGTCCCCCGATGATATAAGTATGACATGACAACACATTGTCTTTAATGAAAAACTTTAGCTATGTAATGTATAACCACAGGAACTCTGAAAAGTTCTCTAATGATATTGGAAAGCTCTCAGCATTGTGATGTTTGTTGTCTTGTGAAGTTGTCTTTGTTTGCCAGTTTGTGGACTGTGGGTGACACCAGTCTTTCTATTTTAGTCCTTACGCTCCTCTTTATTATTATTATTATTATTTTAAAAATATATTTTATTGATTTTTTACAGAGAGGAAGAGAGAGGGATAGAGAGTTAGAAACATTGATGGAAGAGAATCATCGATCAGCTGCCTTTTGCACACTCCCTACTGGGGATGTGCCCGCAACCAAGGTACATGCCCTTGACCAGAATCGAACATGGGACCTTTCAGACCGCAGGCTGACGCTCTATCCACTGAGCCAAACCAGTTTCGGCTACGCTCCTCTTTTGAAAGCCTTATGTTCAGCAGCAAACATCAGGCTCTGGGCCTTGTCTTGTCAATCAGACTTTGAACTAGTTTGAGAGCAGAAGCATCCCCTGACTTTCCATTTTAGAATTGGAAGGCACCCAGAGATGATCCACTTCAGCCTTTTCTCCTTTCCTGCAAAACACTTGTTGGGCCCCTACTATTAGACACCAGGCAAGTTCTGGAGATACAGAGATGGGTAACAGTTCTTTATGCACCATTTAGCCTCTATCAGCTGGATTTCTTTGAGTGGAGGGTCTCTCACTGGTTCACCAGTCCAATAAGGAATTAGTTGCAATTCGAAATAGTGCAGAGTTCTTGAATAGAAGTTGTTCTCCCTTAACTTCTGCGTAATTTTGATAGCATGAGTAACACAGAACAAGGGTTCCCTCTTTCCTTTAACATTTCTTCATTATATGAAGACTGTGCTAATGTCTCTTCTTTATTTTCTGTTGTTCAGCTAAATGTATTTGTTTTCAGTTGTTTCTATTTTTAAAAAATATTTTATTGATTTTTTTTTTTTTTTTTTTTTACAGAGAGAGAAAAGGAGAGGGATAGAGATTTAGAAACATCAATGAGAGAGAAACATCAATCAGCTGCCTCCTGCGCACCCCCCACTGGGGATGTGCTCGCAACCAAGGTACATGCCCTTGACCGTAATCAAAACTGGGACCTTTCAGTCCACAGGCCAACTCTCTATCTATTGAGCCAAACCAGTTTTGGCCAGTTGTTTCTATTTTGTTTGTAAAATTGTCACCTTTCTGGTTATTCTTTTCTGAGCGTACTCTGGTTTCCAAAGTACACTTGAGATATGGAGCTCAATTACTGATTCCCCGTATGTTGGCAGTAGCTTCTGAAAGAGGGTTTGAAAAGATTCCTGAAGATGCCTATCCACCTGTTTGAGGTGCTGCTTTCCCAACAGAAAGCAGACCAACAATTTCCCTTTGATTCTTGTTGAGGGCAGCTGCGTGGGTTGGAATCGTATGAGATTTTTATTTTAAAATGAGCCCTAAAAGTTATAATATACTTATCATTTTTAGATCTTTGGTTTTTCTAATAATTATTGGGAACTAAGAAGATGTAGACCTAAATTAAAGAAGCTAAAGAGACTTTTAATGGCAAATACCTATGAAGGACCTGACAGTCAAAAAGAAAAAGATTCCAATTACTCAAAAGTAAGACTTTTATTTTCATTTTTATTTGGAATTAAAAAAATAGAACTATAACTACAGGCACTTACTGGTGACATTTTTACATTTTAAACTTTATATTATGAAAATTTCAGACCTATCCAAAAGCAGAAAGAGTACCGTATATTCATCACTCAGTTGAACATTTAACAATATTTTGTCAATCTTGCTTTGTTTCTATCCCCTTCTTTATCCCACCTTGTTTTCCTTACTCTGGAGTATTTTAAAACAAATTCTACAGACTTTTACCTGGCTGAAAGCCCATGCTCCTAACTATGCAAAAATAGGTTTTTACATGTTAAATTAATTTTTATTTAATTGAAAGTAATAATTAGGGGCTCTTTAGAAGAGACATTATGTTATTGGAACTTATTTATTACATAAATTCATTATGGAAAGTATTTTTACTCTAATGTCAAAATTGACTAATTCTTGGAACTATAGAAAAATATAAACCAAGTAAAATTTTTTTTAATGTAATTTAAAATGATAGAACTCTACTGGTATTCTGAAGATCATATTTGTATTAGAAATTCTCTTTTTCTCCATTGACTGATTTATTTATTTATTTTTTTTGGAGAGGGCTTACACCTTTACTTAGATATAACTCATATACTAAACAATTCACTCATTTTTAAAGTGTATATATAATTCAGTGTTTTTTAGTATATTTACAGTGGTGTGCAATCATTACAAAAATTCAGAACATTTTTATCAGCCTCAAAAGAACTCTGTGCTTTTTAGCTATTACCTTCCAATCCTACTTTTCCCAATTTCCTTCTTCTACCTCAGCCCTAGGCCACCACTAATCTTCTTTCTGTTTCTATTAATTTGTCTCTTCTGGACATTTCACATCAATGGAATCATATCATTTGTGGCCTTCTCTGATTGGCTTCTTGTTTGACTTAGCATGATGTTTTCAAGTTTCATTCATCAGTTTATTCCTTTTTATTGCTGAATATTACTCTACTTTATGGCTATATCCACATTTTATCCTTCCATTCATCAGTTGATGGGCATTTTTAATTGAGATGAACAACACTGCTGTGCTATATGCATTCATATACAAGTTTCTGTTGCATTTATGTTTTCTAAACATTTTTTTTTTTTTTTTAATCACCAGGGGCCATGCTTAGAGGAAGTGGAGTTGTGGGTAGGAGGCAGAGAGACATGGATTGGTTGCCTTCCTAGGTTCGCTGACTGGGGATGCAACCCAAAACCTGGGTATGTGCTGCCTTGACTGGAAATCAAACTGGCAATCTTTAGATGCATAGGAGAATGCTCAACCAACTGAGCCACTCCGGCAGGGCTGCACCTATATTTTCATTTCTCTTGGGTATATATCTAAGAGTAGAATTGCCAGGTCATGTGCTTATTCTGCATAATCTTTTGAGGAACAGTCAGGCAGTGACTGCACCATTTTACATTCCCATCATATGAGGGTTCCAATTCCTTCAGATCTTTGACAACACTTGCTTTTTTTCTGTCTTTCTAATATCCATGCTAGTGGGTTTGAAATGGTATTATTTTGGTTTTGATGTGCATTCCCCTAATGACTAATGATTTTGAGCATTTTTTTCATGTGCTTATTGACTATATATTTTTGGAGAATGTCTATTTAGGAACTCCTTTGTCCAATTTTTTAATTGGGTTATTTGAATTGTAGGAGAGTCTAAAAACAATTTCCTTATCGGATAGATGATATGCAAATATTTTCCCCTGTCCTGTGAGTTGTCTTTTCACTTTCTTGATTTTTTTTTTAAGAATTGTAAATATACATAAATAACATTTACCATTTTAATCACATGTGGATATTTCTGTGGCATTAAGTACATTCATCTTATTCTATGACCATCATCACTATCCATCTACAGAAATTTTTATCTTCCTCAAACTGAAATTCTGTACCTATTAAACACTAAATCCCTAGACTTCCCTGCCTCCCAGCCTGTAGTGACCAACATTTTACTCTTTCTATGAATTGTCTACTCTTAACTATCCCATATAAGTGGAATCATGCAATATTTGTCCTTTTGTGTTGATGATGTTTTGAAGAATAGAGGATAGAAGTTTTTCATTTTGATGAAGTCCAATTTATCTATTTTCCCTTTGGTGTCATATCTAAGAAACCATTATTAAATCCAACATCATTTATGCTTTCTTCTGAGATATCTACTGATTTTGTGTAGTAATCATTACACATTAACAAAAGAAATTGAGCTAGTGTTTAAATATTGCCTTGATCTATTTTATGTATTTATCCCCCCAAATTCAAGAATCTTAAAAAATATTATTCAAAGGTTTTAAAATGTTGTTTGTTGGTTTTCTCTTGTTTCAGTATACAACTGAAGATTTGCTTGATCAAATTCAGGCAAGTGAGGAAGAAATAATGGCCCAGTTACAAGTTCTAAATGCCTGTGAGATTGAAGGTAGCATTACTGTCATTGTGGAATAATGATGATGGAATTGAGCATCATATAAGAGAAAAAGAGAGACAAGTTTTTGGACATCTTCACCCTATTATATTTTGTTTATTCTTTTTGGAGGCTCACAGATGATGATATTTGCATTTTGGGGAATGGGTAGGAAATACATGTGATCTTTACATGAAGAGGTCAGTCCATGACCAGTACTTTAACCTTTTTCTTTGGGTTAAGTGGTCGTAGGAGAACCATGTTAGCTTGAGAAAGGTCTTAGGTATCAGGTAGTCTAATCCCTTCATTTCTTTTTTTTAGTAGGTGAAGAAACTAAGGCCTATTTTAAAGGGAAACTGACTTGTCCAGGACTACATATTGAATTAGTGATAAGGCATAGAACCCAGGTGAACTTGAAGTAACCTCATTGTATTTCCAAATTGCTTGGAAGATAAGACTGTGTTTCCTCTTGTGATAACATGTAACATGCTTTTGAATATAAATGGTTTATATGGTATCCTATGTACAAGATAGAACAGTGTGTGTTGGTCTCAGGGGTTGAGGAAGAAGCCTAGTAGTATCTACTTTAAGTATTTTGACTGGCTGCTGGTCTGGAGTTGGAGTTTTTTCCCCCAGCATCTGGCCTGCAGTAACTAGTAGGCGTTCATGTGCATTTGTCAGTCCTTTTAAGCAAGCCCAGAGAAGCAGCTTAACTCAGCACCCATGTGTGAAGGAGGAGGAAATTGGCATGGGTTGATAGCTTTACTATTCAGTTTGCTCACAATCTTCCCAGCAAGATTAACTTTTGTGAAAACTTAAATCAAATGTGGCAAATTCTGCTGAGTAAAGCAACTGCACATGACTTAAGAACTAGAAACACTTGGCTCACTTGGTTCTAAGCATAGGAAATGCTTTCTTTCTTAGTTTTACATCACAATTCCATTTTTAATGTTGCCTTTATTTTTCAGAATAAGAATAGCAACATTCTCCTTTGGAAGTGGTGGAAATGTACTTGATTTGTTTCTCCATAGGGGATGGTAGTGCCTTCGATTATAAGATGGCTTTTCACTTTTCGCGGGACTAGGGGAAGGTATCTTGATGCCCAGCCTTTATTTTGCCACTGGTCCACATCGTAACTTTGAGTCTGTCGTCTCTTGAGTGAGCTAGACTTTCTTTTGAGCATAAGAACCCCTTTGCAGGCCAGCTGAGATGAGAGCGATGACCATGGCAGTGTCCCTAGCAGAGGTTACACTATGGGATAGCGAGTCCATGGCCTTCACCTCATTAGTATGACATTCTATGAAATGATTGTACTAGCCACGTCCATTTAGAACAACAAGATTATTGTGAGATATTGATTTTAATATTAAAGCATTTGAAAAAAATTAGTGTTAGTCATATCTGAACTACTCTTTAAAAACCACAATTTGTAATGGGAGAAAAGCATAAATCGAAGCATTGTTTATTAGGAAAGTGAAGACTTCTTTTTTTAAAAGAAAGACTTTTAATGTCTCTCTCTTTTTTTTTTTTTTCTTTTTGCAGTGGGTAAGAGCATGCTGCTATTTTATTACTTTATTAGCCAATTAATTTGCTTAATATGTTCTTTAATAAATATAACTTTGAATTTGTAGGTTATTGGAGGATTCTTGAATTTGATTATGAGATGAAACTTCTGAATCATGTAACTCAGCTTGTGGATTCTGAATCATGGTCTTTTACTAAAGTTCCTTTGAACATATGCCTTCAGGAACTTGGACCATTAGAACCAGAGTAAGTATTTTAATCCCTGTCGCATCAGATTTCCTTATAGCTAAGGAAATTATTTTCCAGGGTGGAACTAAACCCAGGGCATAGACTACTTTTATTTTGATAGTTTATAGGAATTTAAAAATTATACAACCAAGAAAGATTTGGAATTTTGGTCACTGGGGTGAATAAATGTGCATTATGTTATTTTTTTGCATTAAAAATACAAAGAAACTATTTTATAATAGAAGTATACTCATATAATTCATGTAAAAATAGTTAGCATGGGATCTGGCATATAGTAGCTTCCTAGTATATATTAGTTAGTTCCTAATATAAAGTTTTACCTGGTAGTTAAAATCACTTCATATTTCAAATCACAAATGTATATCTTTATTTCTAGTGGCATATAAAAAATATTGTATAAAACTGCGATAACTTGTCAAATGAGTGTTTTAAATTTTTCAGAGAAATGATTGAGCACTGTCTTAAGTGTTACGGAAGAAGATACACAGAGGAAGGTAAGATCTGGAGAGTATTTTAATGGGTATGAAATCTTGTATGTTAAAATTGTTACGCTTTCCTGAGGTGTGTTTCTGTCCAAAATAAGGACTCCATGAGTCATGGGAGGTGAATTGTGTATAATTGCTTCTGGGGGTTTCATGGAGGAAAAAGAAACAATAGGCGTGTGTCTCATAGTGAAGATAAATGAAAGTATTGGATGTGTTTTCTTTAGGTAAGTTTAGTTCTTTATTTTCCCCAGGTGAAATTTATTTTGAATTGAGCGCTGATAAAATCTGCAGAGCAACAGCACAAATGCTACTTCAGAATGCAGTGAAGTTCAACCTCGCCGAGTTTCAGGAAGTGTGGCAGCAGAGTGTCCCTGAAGGAATGATAACCAGGCTTGAGCAGCTTAAGGTGAGTAGCGATGGTGATGGCTACCATGACAACAGATCATCATTAGTTACTAGGTGAAACAAAATTTATGTTGGAACTGAATCTGGAGCCAATTTATTTCCCTAACTACCCATTGAGTGTGTACTATACACTCAATCTATCACAAAATCCTCTAAAAAAAAAAAAAAAAAACCCAAAAGTCAACACTTTATCTAAGTATAATTTACATAACACAAAATTTATCTCTTTAAAAGGGGTTTTTAGTAAATTTAGTGAGTTACACAGCCATCACCACAATCTAGTTTGAGAACATTATCACCTCGATGAAATCCCTTAGTTAATCCTGATTCCCACTCCATTGGTTTATCTCAGTTTCCATCAGCACCATCTTACCTCAAGGTATCATATTCATTTGGCTATAAATAACAGTAATATCCCTAATCAGGCTGTCCATACTTTTAATTTTGCTCTGCTCCAGTCCATTCTCTGTGGTGCTACTGGAATGATCTTTAATTCAGATTAGATCAATGTTTTGCTTAAATCACTTTAATGGTTGCCCAATGCATTTAAGATATAAAATCCAGAATTCATATTTTGGCCTACAAGGCCCTCCATAATCTCCCCTTCATGATTTCTGTCCTACTTAATGCATACCCAGTGTTCTTTCAAATTTTCAAAATCATCAGGCTGGCTTCTAGCGTAGGTTCTTCACTCAAGGCTTTTTGTTCTAGAATGATCTCCCTAACTTCATCTGGCCACCTCCTACTCATTTTTGAGTAACTTCATCAAAGAGGCCTTCTTTCACTAAAAATATGCCCCTCTTTTACTCTTCCATAGCACCTTATATTTTTCCTTCATGGCACTTATCACTTTGCTTTAAAAGTGTTAATTATGTGGTTGCCCACCTCCACTTTGATAGAATTTTGTTCACTGTTGCTTGCCAACATATATCATACTGCTTGGAAAGTAGTATATACTCAATAAGTATTTGTTAAATAAGAAAAAGGATTTACTCAATATTTGACTTCCTTTTAAGTCTAGGCACTGTGCTAGATGCTCAGGTGCCATCAACATCCTAAACATCTCAAAAGTATTTGGGCCCATTCAGTGTTTTAGCAAGGAGAGTAACCTGATGAGTTTTGCCTTTTGGAAAGAACACTATGACGGTAATGTGGGTGTATGTATGTACCCTGTTTCACCGAAAAGAAGACAGTGTCTTATATTAATTTTTGATCCCAAAGATGCGCTAGGTCTTATTTTCAGGGGATGTCTTATTTTTCCATGAAGAAGAATACGGTATACATTTATTGTTAAATGAAAATAAAAGAAATTTATTACCTGTATACGGTACGGTAGTACGATAGTTGTCAACACAAACCAGACAAACTGTGAATCCAACAGTATCAAGAATTTACTCATTTATTCAGTGACAATCATGTCATCATCTTCTGGAACATCATCATAACAATCCAATTCCTGAATTTCCTGGTGAATTTCTTGTGACTCCATTTCTTTCAGAATCAGTGGACCAAATCTCTCATGTTTAGCCTAGGGGGGCCTTATTTTCGGGGGGGATGCCTTATATTTCACTCAGAAGGAAAACTGTAAGTAGGTCTTATTTTCAGAGGATGTCTTATTTTCAGGGAAACACGGTATGTATGTATGGATGGATGGATAAAGGTTGGCTAGATGATGAAAAGGAGAACTGTCCAGGCTCTTAACACTTAAATATTCCTAACTAAGACAATACTGGTTAAAGAAATAAGTGATACAGAATGGATAGAGAAATGTTGAGGCCTTAAAACCTATAGGCTAGTGACCTCTTAGGTGGGGGGTTTGAATAGTGGAATCTAAGTTAATGCCTCGGTTTCTTGGCTTCCTGGGTCAGTGAGACTAGAGCAGGTTTAGGTGACAAATACTGTGAGTTCATACATAGGTTTGGATATAGAGATCAGATGCTCAGTCCACGAGACATTTGAGTTGCAGATACAAATCTTACAGGTATTAGCAAGTAATCGGTCGTGGAAATCATGGTTTAGTTGAGGTTATACAGGACTGACAGTGAGACTAGTAGAGGGGCAGAATAGAGGCCCAGGGAACTGTGACATCAAGTTAGGAGGGTAATACTAAGATGGTGATATCAGAGATAAAGATTCAAAAAGGAAGGAATAATCAGCATTAACAAAGAAAACAGCCAATGAGATGAATCCAAGGACCTAGTGGCAATGACAGTTTACTGGTGACCTTGAACTAGAGCTGTCTTTATAAATTGGAGTGGTAGAAGCCAGATTGCAGAGGAAAAAGGGAAAGTCAAGTTTAAAGAAGCTATTTCTATGAAAAAAAAATTATTAGGTTTCAGGAGCTTGTGTTTCATGTAGTTGATATTTTAAATGCCCTGGGCTAAGCTAAACCTAAACATGAAATAATAAGCCATATTTAAACATTAGACCATTACTTTACTCTTTTTCTTATTTCTTAATAGGGTTTGGCCTTGGTGGATAGACAGTCAAGACCAGAAATCATATTTTTGCTAAAAGTAGATGATTTACCTGAGGATAATCAGGAACGTTTTAATAACCTATTCTCTCTAAGGGAGAAATGGACAGAAGAAGACATTGCTCCATATATTCAGTAAGTACTTTATTAAATATGAATTTTGAGGGCTGTTCTTTTAATAAAAGAACAGCCCTCAAAATTCATATTTAATATTTAAAGAGTGGCATAGTAGTTTGGATTTTTATCAGAACAAATTCTTTTGAGTATTTCCCAAGGACAATGCTTCCTTTGAAACTTTCTCAAGTGGAGGCTGTCCTCTATAGTATCCTCTATAATCACTGATCCTGAAGGTAGGGTATGTGTTATCTTTCTTCCTTACTACTTCATATATATAAACTCCATTTATAGTTTTTTAAAATATATTTTTATTGATTTCAGAGAGGAAGGGAGAGGGAGAGAGAGATAGAAACATCAATGATGAAAGAGAATCACTGATTGGCTGCCTCCTGCATGCCCCCTAGTGTAGAGTCCACAACCTGGGCATGTGCCCTGACCAGGAATTAATCCTGACCTCCTGGTTCATAGATGTTCAACCACTGGGCCATACCAGCCTGGGGCTTACTACTTCTTCTAAAATCACTTTTCTGCCCTCCTCCCTGCAAAATTTCGGCTCTTAGAGGGACAGTCAGACTATATACCCCTCTCTGATTGACACCTGTTACCTTTCCTGCTGCCTTGCTTTAGCATCTTGTAGAAGCCAGATTGCAGAAGAACAAGTTAACCCAGAAGCCACTAACACTTCCCCCTCTTTGCTGTGTCTCACCTCTCAGGCCTTCTCTCTTTTTACCCAGATTGGATTCCTGGTCAATTTCTCCAACTATTTTTCTTTCCTTTCTGATAGACAGGTTTAATGATGCATTGTCTTCACATAGAAGACACTGTATCACCTTGCTTGCCTGCAGAGTCTTTAACTAAAATCCAGGAATATGCAAGTAGGCAACATAGACCAATTAGCCAGATCTAAAATAACATTTCCAAATGAATATCTAATAGGAATTTAAAATCCCACATGCTCATAACAGAACTGTTGATACCCCCTTGTCCTAATTGTATATTCCTCATCTCAGTTAATAGCACTACCATTAATCCCAGTTACTCAAGCAAGAAGTCTAGGAATCAACTTTGTATTTTTCTTCCCTCATCTCTTGGTTCAAACTATGAGCAAATCCTGATGGACCATCTTGTATGTGACTCTGAATTGGTCTTCCTACTTCTATTTGGCCTCCTTACTTTCTCCCTCTTTTTCACTTTTTGTGAATATATAGTATAATGAATGCTCCATGAATTCCCCACCTAGTTTCCATAATCATCACTCATTGTCTCCATTATTTAAAACTTAGATGGATAATGCTTTTCCATTAATTAAAGCTCTTAGTGGCTTCCCATAATGCTTCAAATGAAATCACAACTCCTTTCCATGGTTTTCAAGGCCCTACATGATCTAACCCTTGCTCTCTTCCCATTCTTTCTTTCCTCATTATATCCCAGTCATGATATTCTCTTATTTTTGATGTACAGAAGAGGAAGCCAAAGTTCAGGGAAGGCACGTAACCTTGATAAGCTCACACATAGCCTAATATCAGGTTCTCTGAGTCTACACCCCACTGTACCACCTTGCTTGCTTGTATTTCTACTTTGGAGGTTGTGTGATAGAATGGAAAACAAAAACTTTTAAGTCATAGAGAGCTGGCTGCAAAATGTGGATTGCCCTTCCTGAGCCTCAGTTTCCTCATATCTAGTATGGGGTTAAATAATACATTATTCATACTATGCTTGTGAAGTTTGAAGATAATACATTCAATGTACCTAGTCAATTAAGGCTTAGTAACTGGTCCCTACCCTGTCTCCTACACACACATACCCTATGCTTGTTGAGAAGATGAGATTTAGGAGAGAAAGATATAAATAAATAGTACTGTGGATATTATGTTATATTCCCTAAAATATTTATACTATTCATTTACTTATTTTTTGTTTCTACAGAGATTTGTGTGGAGAGAAGCAAACCATAGGTGCATTACTCACTAAATATGCTCGATCTTCGATGCAAAATGGTGTTAAAGTTTATAACTCAAGAAGACCCATTTCTTAAAAGTACAACAGTCTTTTCTTTGCAACTAAAGTTCCTTTGTAAAGTTGCTGGCTATTATAAGAAAAATATTCTTTTATACATTTGTATTTCAGACTTTAAAAAACCTTGTACTGGGAGGCATTTTTCTTTTCATCTTAAGCATTTTGAAACTACTGCTCCTCTTTTTTCTTAAACCTAAGAGGATATTTCTGTCTTTCAAGTTATGTTGTATTAAGTACACAATATAAACAAGGACAGAAGAAAGTGTTATGTCTTATGTTTAGTATATATCTATAGTTCATTTGATTTTATTTATTGAAAATTGTTTGCTTTTTTTTTTTTTTTTTTAATTTATTTATTTCTTTTTATTTTGAAGTAATATTTAATATTAACATTGTGAGTTATTATCTTTTGCATATCCTAGTTACACATTTCAAACAAATCGTCATTTATATTTACAGTATACAGATGCAAAGCATTAATTTCCCACTAAATCATCACTTTCTTAAAATGGTACATGTGATGTTATGAAATTAGCTATTAAGCATTCGAAATAGTGGAAAAGAGGTCCTTTCTTCAGTCTTTTTTTTTTTTAAATATATATATATTTTTTTGATTTTTTTTTGCCCCCCCTCCCTCCCTCCCTCACATCCCCTCCCTCCCCAGAGTTTTATGTCCATTGGTTGTACTTATGTGCATGTATAAAAGTCCTTCGGTTGATCTATTATCTCCCCCAGATCTTCCTCCCTTCCCTGCTGTAATTTGACAGTCTGCTTGTTGATATACTATCTTTATATCTATCTTTTGGTTCATCAGTTTATAATGTTCTTTATTATCCACAAATGAGTGAAGTCATGTGGTGTTTTTCTTTCAATGACTGGCTTATTTCACTCAGCATGATGTTCTCCATTTCCATCCAGGTTGCTACAAATGATGAGAATTCCTTCTTTTTTATGGCAGCATAGTATTCCATTGTGTAGATGTACCAAAGTTTTTTGATCCAATCATCTGCTGATGGGCACCTAGGCTGTTTCCAAATTCTAGCTATTGTAGATTGTGCTGCTATGAACATAGGGGTGCATATATCCTTTCTGATTGGTGTTTCTAGTTTCTTGGGATATATTCCTAGGAGTGGGATTACTGGGTCAAATGGGAGTTCCATTTTCAGTTTTTTGAGGAAACTCCACACTGTTCTCCACAGTGGTTGGACCAGTCTGCATTCCCACCAGCAGTGCACGAGGGTTCCCTTTTCTCCACAACCTCGCCAACACCTGTCGTTTGTTGATCTGTTGATGTTGGCCATTCTGACAGGTGTGAGATGGTACCGCATTGTTGTTTTGATTTGCATCTCTCGGATAATTAGTGACTTTGAGCATGTTTTCATGTGCCTTTTGGCCTTCCTTCTGTCTTCTTTTGGAAATATTCTATTTAGGTCCATTGCCCATTTTTTAATTGGATCATTCATCTTCCTTTTATTTAGTTGTATAAGCTGTTTGTAGATGTTGGAGATTAAACCTTTATCAGTGGTAACATTTGCAAATATGTTCTCCCACATCGTGGGCTTTCTTGTTGTTTTGTTGATGGTTTCTTTTGCTGTAAGAAAGCTTTTTATTTTGATGTAGTCCCATTTGTTTATTTTCTCTTTAGCTTCCATTGCCCTAGGGGCAGTATCAGTGAAGAAGTTCTTTTGGCATATGTCTGAGATTTTGCTGCCCGTGGATGCTTCTAGTATTTTTATGGTTTCCCGTCTGATGTTTAAGTCCTGTATCCATTTTGAGTTTACTTTTGTGTATGGTGTAAGTTGGTGATCCAGTTTCATTCTTTTGCATGTATCTATCCAATTTTCCCAACACCATTTATTGAAGAGACTGTCTTGACTCCATTGTATATTCATGCCTCCTTTGTCAAATATTAATTGAGCATAGTGATTTGGGTTGATATCTGGGTTCTCGATTCGATTCCATTGATCTATATGTCTGTTTTTGTGCCAGTACCAGGCTGTTTTGAGAACAGTGGCTTTGTAATACAGTTTGAAGTCTGGTATTGAGATCCCTCCTACTTTACTCTTCTTTCTCAGGATTGCTGTGGCTATTCGGGGTCTTTTATTGTTCCAAATGAACTTTTGGAGAGTTCTTTCTAGGTCAGTGAAGTATGCCGTTGGTATTTTAATGGGGAGTGCATTGAACCTATAGATTGCTTTAGGAAGTATGGACATTTTGATGATGTTGATTCTACCAATCCATGAACATGGTATGTTCTTCCATCTGTTTACATCTTCCTCTATCTCTTTTTTCAGTGTCGTGTAGTTTTCTGCATATAGGTCCTTTACTTCCTTAGTTAAATTTATTCCTAGATATCTTAATTTTTTTGGTGCAATGGTAAATGGAATTGCTTTTTTAGTCTCTGTTTCTATAAATTCGCTGTTGGTGTATAGAAATGCCATAGATTTCTTGGCGTTAATTTTGTATCCTGCTACATTGCCAAATTCATTTATTAAGCCCATTAGTTTTTTAATGGAGTCTTTTGGGTTTTTTATGTACAATATCATGTCGTCTGCAAATAAGGATAGCTTTACTTCTTCTTTTCCAATTTGGATGCCTTTTATTTCCTCCTCTTGTCTAATTGCAATGGCTAGTACTTCCAGTACTATGTCAAAAAGGAGTGGCGAAAGTGGGCATCCCTGTCTTGTTCCTGTTCTTAGAGGGAATGGTTTTAGTTTTTGCCCATTGAGTATGATGTTGGCTGTGGGTTTATCATATATAGCTTTTATTATGTTGAGGTATGATCCTTGTACTCCCACCTTGTTGAGAGTTTTTATCAGGAAAGGGTGTTGGATTTTATCAAATGCTTTTTCTGCATCAATTGATATGACTATATGATTTTTATCTTTCAACTTGTTTATGTGATGTATCACGTTTATTGATTTGCGGATATTGTACCATCCTTGCATTCCTGGAATAAATCCTACTTGGTCATGGTGTATGATCTTTGTGATGCTCTGCTGGAGCCGATTTGCTAGAATTTTGTTGAGGATTTTGGCATCTATGTTCATGAGGGATATTGGCCTGTAATTCTCTTTCATTGAGTTGTCTTTATCTGGTTTTGGTATTAGGGTGATGCTGGCTTCATAGAAGGAGTTTGGAAGTGTTCCTTCCTCTTGGATTTTCTGGAATAATCTGAGGAGGATAGGTTTTAGTTCTTCCTTGAATGTTTGGTAAAACTCTCCTGTGAAGCCATCTGGCCCTGGGCTTTTGTTTGCTAGAAGTTTTTTGATGACTGTTTCAATTTCTTCCCAAGTCACTGGTCTATTTAGATTTTTAGATTCTTCCTGATTGAGTTTTGGAAGGTTGTATTTTTCTAGGAATATGTCCATTTCCTCCAGGTTGTTCTGTTTATTGGAATAGAGCTGTTCGTAGTATTTTGTAACAATTCTTTGTATTTCGGCGGGATCTGTTGTTATTTCACCTCTTTCATTTCTGATTTTGTTTATTTGGGTCCTCTCTCTTTGTTTCTTGGTTAGCCTGGCTAGGGGTCCATCTATCTTGTTTATTCTTTCAAAGAACCAGCTCTTGGTTTTGTTGATCTTATGTATTGTTTCTTTGGTCTCTATGTCATTTATCTGTGCTCTGATTTTTGTTATTTCCTTCCTTCTGCTTACACTGGGCTTTTCTTGTTGCTCTTTTTCTAACTCTTTGAGTTGTAGAGTTAGATCATTTGTTACCCTTTTTTCTAGTTTTTTGCAATAGGCTTGTAGGGATATGAACTTCCCTCTCAAAACTGCTTTTGCTGTGTCCCATAGATTTTGGATTGTTGTGTTTTCATTGTCATTTGTTTCCAGGATGTTTTTAATTTCTTCCTTGATTTCTCTGGTAACCCAGTCCTTGTTTAATAGCATGCTGTTTAGTCTCCATGTGTTTGATTTCTTTGGATTTTTTTCGTTGTAGTTAATTTCCAGTTTTATGCCACTATGATCTGAGAAGATGCTTGATATGATTTCTATCTTCTTGAATTTGAAGAGACTTTGCCTATGTCCCAAAATGTGGTCTATCTTTGAGAATGACCCATGTGCGCTTGAGAAGAATGTATATTCTGTGGCTTTGGGGTGGAATGTTCTGAAGATGTCGATTAATTCCATCTGGTCTAGCGAGTCATTTAGGATTGATATTTCTTTGCTGATTTTTTGTTTAGATGACTTGTCAAGGGGTGACAGTGGGGTATTAAGATCTCCTACTATGATTGTATTGCTATTAATCTCTCCCTTAATGTCCTCCAGCAGTTTTTTTATATATTGGGGTGCTCCCGTATTGGGTGCATATATATTTACCAGGGTTATTTCTTCTTGTTGGATTGCTCCCTTTAGTATTATAAAGTGGCCTTCATTATCTCTTGTTATGTCCTTCACTCTGAGATCTAATTTGTCAGATATAAGTATTGCTACCCCAGCTTTTTTTCCATTTCCATTCGCCTGGAAAACCTTTTTCCATCCCTTCACCCTCAGTCTGTGTGCATCTTTTTTTCTGAGGTGGGTTTCTTGTAGACAACAGATATATGGGTCTTGTTTTCTTATCCAATCCGTTACCCTATGTCTTTTGATTGGAGCATTTAGTCCATTTACATTTAAAGTTATAATTGATAGATACTTATTTGACGCCATTTTTATTCTATACCCCTGTGTTCCTTCTATGCTTTCTATTTCTTTAACTTTACAGTAGACCCGTTAGCATTTCTTGCATTGCTGGTTTAGTGGAGATAAATTCCCTTAGTCTGTTTTTGTCTGTGAAGCTCCTGATTTCCCCTTCAATTTTGATTGATAGCCTTGCTGGGTACAGTATTCTTGGATTCAGACCCTTCCTTTGCATGACTTTGTATATTTCATCCCATTCCCTTCTGGCCTGATAAGTTTCTGTGGAGAAATCAGTTGCTAGTCTGATGGGGGTTCCTTTATATGTAACTTTCTGTCTCTCTCTGGCTGCTTTTAAAATTCTTTTTTTGTCGTAGGTGTTTGCCAGCTTAATTATAAT